AATGTTAATAAGATAATTAGGTTTGCTACTTGCATTTGAATGTATAGTAGATTTTTGAGCTGCTGATGATAGTAGAATTGTGAAGTTTGTTATCGACAAGTTTAAATCCTGTTCATTTTTAAGAGGTATGTTGCAAGACATTTTTTCATCAATTATCTCTTGGAATAATGACCAATTAGTAAATCTATTTGTGAGAAAATATGAGTTTTGATTTACTTCTGTAGTTGTAGAATATTGCAGAATAATTGGCGAATGATCAGAATTTAAATCTAAATTTGATTTGATATCTAAACAATTATTGTTAACGCCTTTAGTTATGAAAAAATCTATTAAATCGGGGATTTTGTTAAGATCTGTTGGCCAATAAGTAGGCTCGCCGGTGGATATTGGCTTAAGATTGTTTTTTTTCATCGATTTATAAAGTTCTCGACCCCTAGGGGTGATCAGTCTAGAACCCCAGAATGTGTGCTTAGCATTATAATCTCCTCCCGCTATAAATGAACTGCCCAGCGTATTAAAAAAAATTATAAACTGATCTTCGGTAATCCTGTGTTTAGGCGGACAGTAAATGGCTGATAATACTAGCTGGTTATGCGATGGTATAGTAACTGAAATTGATGTTACTTGAAGAAAGTCCTTCTGGAATGGTTCAGCCTCATGATGATTTATGTTAGCTTTTATAATAACCGCAGTTCCTCCATGAGGTCTTCTACTTGGGTGCGGAGTATTATAAACTATATAATTTGGTATACGTACGAAACTATTGTTAGTGAAATGTGATTCCGATATAAGCATGATATCTATATCGTTGATTGTTAAAAAATATTTAAGGTCTTGAGTGTGGTTACACAAGCCATTTGCATTCCATAAACAGATTGTTAGTTTGAAATACATGATTTGTTTGCTAGAATGGTTGTGAGTAAATTAAGCATAGTGCTCATTTGTTCAGTAAGTGTTTTTATCATTTCTTTCAATTCTGACAGATCATTGATATTATTAATGTTTGTCGAACTCTGATTAGTAGTTGATGGAATGTCCTGATATTCAGGCAGTACAGTATTTTTACGTGTTACATATAAGTATGAGGTACCTGGTTTAACACTTAAGGTTGATCCATGAATTGGTGATGTTCTCTGTCTTGGTGATGGAAATTTTTTCTCAAATTATTCCTTATAGATTTTGCATCCCTTGTAGTTGGCAGGATGGTTGTAAAGATGACGCTCACAAATTTCATCATAGCTTGATAACGAATAACTGCCATTTACCTCATCCATTTCCCAAAACCTTGCTATAGAGCATTGTTTTTTCAATGATTGTTCCATTTGATTTCTAAAGGACCAATTTGTTGTAAAACACTTTATTTATAATATTATGTGTCTACTTTAAATTAACTACAAATTGTACTTGTATTTACAATATTTTTAATGTTTTATGTATTGTATTGATTTACTCTATTTTATAATTATTTTTGATTGATTTTATTTTGTTTTTATATCATAAATCGGATGCTTTGATTTAGCGTGAACATGTGTTTTGTATATCAATATATGACATGCTTTGATTTGGCGCGAACAGAGTTTGTTAGATAGACATGGTTAATGGAAGCCGCTATGTTATCAACTGAACCAGAATTATTTCCAAAATTTCCAGCTACCGAAAACAATATTTTGTAATACTGATTTATCTTTTCCAAGCATAATTTTCTCATTTAAAAGAATCTCAAAAAATATGTTAACACCGATCAACAACTCAACCTCGTCTGGTCTGTTAAAATTTTGATCTACAAAATATACATTTTTCGGTAAGGAAAATCTAGATGTACTGTGACTATGTACTGTGACTATGAATTTTGAAAACTGCCAATAATATTCGAAATTGTGCAATAAATTAAGCTACTGGATCTAACTGGAGCACCGTCAACATCACTTAAAAGTAAATTTGAATTATGTATTTTAAATCCAAGTTTATTAGCAACATTTTGGTAATTTTACTCACTTCCGAACCCAAATCTAACAAAGCTTGTATTTGAATTGATTTGCTGTTTATGTCACGAATAATTAAAGTAACTGTAAGTAAAATAGTGCAATTAAAATCTATGTTGGTGTGCCTAACATGCGATACTGTTGCAGTCGAAGATCCAGGTATATCTACGCTACAGGCGGCGCTAAGTTCATCTTCTTTTTTTTGGATGTAGTAGTGTGTTATGACGTTCAGGGCAATTATTACAATGAAACCGCATGAAACATTTTTTCTGAAAGTGACTCTTTCGGAGACAATTCGTGCAAATACCGTATACTTGGAAATTGTGCACAATCATTAATGACATGCTTACCCTTATGCACCCATCCAATAGACAACCAGGCAACCGAGCAATTCATGACCATTATATTTATTTTTAAAGGAATAAACACGAATTAAAAATTAATTTTTTATTCATATGAATAAAATGTGGAAAACTTTATGTATGTATGTATTTTCCCAGTATAATCAATTTTTTGTACTATATAAAAAGCTTATTAGATAATAATATATCCTATTGTTGTTCTTAATATATTCATTATCATTTCTAAGATTTTATTCATAATATATAAAAAAATTTGGTAGGTATATTCTTATTGTTATATATTTATTTGAAATAACAAATTTAATATTTTTTTATATCATTGAAATCAGCGCAAGAAATAGATTTTGCGATCTAAGGTGTTAATGGTTAATTTATGGAATTTCGGGTTTTGGAAAATTCAGATTAAATTCATTTGTGGACTTTTGGTACGAATATTTCTGGATTCAGCATTAATACATTGAACTCAATGTTACCTTTTTCCAAAAGGAATACCCTGGCATTATTGACAGACATTTAATAATATAATTTAAATAATATTGTTAATATAAAAGGGCAAGGTGAATATACCAGGAAAAATAATCACAAAAATTGGAACTAACATTATTAAAAAAATAAAACATAATAAATTAAGTAAAAAAATTCTTTTGAAGTCAAAAAAACTTAATTTATTATGTTTTGTTTTTCAATAATGTTTGTTTCAATTTTTGTGATTGTTTTTCCTAGTGTTATCTTATATATAAAAATGGAGCTCTCTTTCAAATGTCTTACTAAAACTCGAAAACGGCGTAATCGATTTGGCCAGTTTTGAAAAATTTGTGCCAATCCAGAGATGGTCGGAAAGGTGAGATAATATTTCAAAATTTCGTAGAAACTTTACATTCTTAATTTGAAATTTTTTTAGAAGCGTAATTTAAATGAAACAATGGATAATGTTCAATTATATTTAATAGGATGTTTTACGTGAATATTATTTAATTATGATTAAATTTTAATAAGTAGTTTTGTTTGTAGTTTTATTTATACACAAAAACGTTAGTAAACGGGCCGCAAGTGTTATTAGAAACTCAAAATATCAACTTTTTTGAAATGTTAATATAAATATGCACTTTTTGGCATATTTTTCTCAAACACGGTGCTCTGAAAGATCTCATTTGTATAATTATATACGCATTGGTATTTAAAAAACATTTTCTAGGTTATTTTATTTATGTTATTTAAATTCAGAAGCTAAATTTGGTATCGATCAAAGGGACATTTTGTCAAATAACATTTTTCCAGTTATAACTTCCCAGAATTTATCAAAGAATATATAGTGATAGATGAAGGTCCGGGGTTAAAAAGGTCCACCATCAATGTGTCAAAAACCAGTAAAGTTAAGCATTGTTTAACAACAATTTTTGAAAGTAGAGGGAAAAAGATGTCTAATCAGCTATAACCTTGATTCTCATGACTTTGCTATCGAGGATAAACGGTAATCTTTGAAAATTCATAATAAAAGTATTTTCTTCCGTTGGTAGTTTTTTAGCATTAGTTAAAAATGTAATTATTTTGTAAAATATCTTCAAAATTAAGATAAGACATTAAACCTGGTTGCCACCTGGCCGTTACAAGTTACCCTGTCTATGGGGTAAAAAGGTCTAGATAACAAAATTTTGAAGACAAAAAAAGCACATTTCTACAATGATGAAGTAGCTGGCAATTTTACAGAACGTAGTTAGATAATTGTAAGTTTGAAATGTGTTATTTTTTGTGATATAATTTGTTTGATTTTTATAATATAATTAATATTTGCTCAAAGTCAAATTGGACATTTGTGCCTCGCCCTGCTCTACATAAATATATACTTTTTATTAAATTTACTTCAATTCATCGAATGTTACTTGAAACTTTTCAGAAAGCTGATCAAAGAAGAAATACTTAATTCATTTTCTATATCTCCTCTCTCCTCGCAGAAATTTGAAAATTTTGTATAAGCTCAGTAGTATTATTTAAAATTAAACATAAAAAACGTGAAACGTAATCAATGAGTCGAAAGACCAAAAATGACTTGGACTGGATTATTGGATGTTTTCTATAAAAAGTGTATAAAACTTCCAGTTTGATTGTATTGATAAAATATAGACAAACTAATAGTGTTTATAGCATTTAAACAACACATCCTTACACACTTAAAATATTAACTTTTTTGATTCTCTAGAAATTGTTTAGAATATACCTTACTTAGCAAAACAACGTTTGCCGGGTCAGCTAGTATATATATATATATATATATATATATATATATGGCATATGTGAGCTATATATTATTTATTAATTAAATCTTTAAATGAAATCGCAATAATTTGATGTTGACTCGACAATGAGTGTTTATTTATGTCTCAATTAATAAAGGTGTTGATATTACATTAAATCTAATATCAATTTTGATCCCGAGAAAATGCTCGATGAAAAACGCGATACATAATTTTAGATCGTTTCAAAAAGCGCGATAATTTTTCCCGATCGTATTAAAACAATCCGCTCGCTAAGCTTGCTTGATATGATATTCGATTTGCGTCAATCAACTGACATGTGACATGTGTGAGTGTTGATTCCGCTATATCACTCCCCTTCAAAAGAAAAATAAGTATCCGGTAAAAATAAATGAATTTAATTATTATAATTTGAAGGAGACTTTTTTAGACTTCATCTTTTTTGGAGGATCCATCGATAACTCCAAGTTATGTGATTTAAATTCTTGAGATGTGCTTGGTTGACTGTTATCTGTTTTAACTGTATATGCTGGTTTTAATCTATCAACCGATATGTTCTTATCAGTACCATCCATAGAAATTTTGTACACTTTGTCTGAAATTCTTTCTATGATTTTATATGGTCCACTATATGTAGGCTCAAGTGGTTTTCGAATATGATCTGACCTGACAAATACATGAGTGCATGTATTCATGTCCTTGAGTACAAACATATTAGCTTTATTATGATGAGCTGTGGCTGAAGGCTTAATATCACGCATTATTTTTCTATGACAGTCCAGAAATGTTTGTGGATCAGATGACAGTTCTTTAGATGTGAAAAACTCGCCTGGTAGTCTCAATGTGGTTCCATAAACCATCTCAGCAGGAGATGCTTCAAGGTCTTCTTTGTATGAAGAACGTAAACCTAGTAAGACTACAGGTAATACTTCGATCCAGGGCTCAGGAGAGCACATTAAAGCTGCTTTCAGAGTTCTATGCCAGCATTGGCCTGAGGGTGGTATGCCGTTGTCCGTATTTTCTTAGCACCTATTGCATCCATTAATGATTTGAATATAGCTGATTCAAACTAGCATCCTTGGTCGGATGTTATCACACATGGTGTACCAAATCTTGATATCCAGTTTGAAAATAGGGCTTGAACAATCGTGTCTGAAAAAATGTCCTTTAGAGGAATAGCTTCTGGCCACCTTGTGAATCTGTCGATGATTGTTAGGCAATAAGGATATCCATTAATATTAGGTAATTTAATTATGTCGATGTGAATATGCGAAAATCTGTTTTCAGGAATAGGAATATGGGTAGGAGTGAGGTGATTATGTTTGTGTATTTTGGATTTTTGGCAAGGAATACATTGACGTACCCACATGGTGACGTTTTTACCAATCCCAGGCTACACATACCTTCTTCGCAACTCCCTTGAAGTAATCCTTATGCTTGGGTGTGCATTTCCATGTACAATGTCAAAAGCAATTCTGCGAAGACTTTGCGGAAGGTAGGGCTTCACAAAATTATCTTGCGTGTTGCAATAAACTGGATAGCCGTCTAATGTTAATTTTTGAAGATTCAGAGAGGTGTTGCCATTTAATATAGTTTGCATTTCAACGTCCTTGCTCTGCTCTTGCGAAATTTCCTCTGCGATTAACTTTGAAGGCATTTGAATGGCATTGATCCTGGACAAGGCATCAGCAACCACGTTCTGATCACCCTTCACATATATAATATCAGTGGAAAACTGTGATATGTATTCTAGCTGCCGTCGCTGACGATCTGATGCTTTCTCCCGTTTTTGTTGAAATGCATGTGTGATTGGCTTGTGGTCTGTCTTGATTACAAAGTGCCTTCCCTCTAGCAGATATTCAAAATACTTTAAAGCCGCAAAGATGGCTAGTAGTTCGCGATTGTAAGTTAAATATCGCTGTTCAGTAGATGTGAGCTTTCTGGAAAAGAAACCTATAGGCTGCCATGCGCCATTTTCTTCCTGCTCCAGAGTTGCTCTAATGGCTGTTGTAGATGCATCTGTAATTAAATTAATATTTGCTATGCTTGAAGGAAAATGAAGAAAAATTGCATTTGCTAGAGCTTCCTTCAGCTTGCTGAATGCTAATAGTGAGGTGTCATTCCATACAATTTGAGTCTTGTCATTTTTAACTGAGGACTTTAAATACTCATAAAGTGGTGCTTGTATATTTGCTGCCTTGGGTATTGATTTACGAAAATAGTTTACCATGCCCAAAAATCTTCTGAGTTCAATAACTGTCGAAGGTTTTGGATAATTAATAATTTTCTCCACTCGGAGAAAGAAACCACTCGGTCTGGTAAAGGAGAATATCCTGCTGCACTCAGTTTGTAACCGAGGAAGTTAACTTCATCTGTTCCAAAGGCGCATTTCCCTAAGTTGATTGTGAGTGAATATTCCTGTAGCCTCTCAAAAACCAATTGAAGATGACGACGGTGCTCATTCATATCAGTCGACATTACCAGGATGTCGTCTATATAAATAAAAACAAAATTGAAATCTTGGAATATGTGATTTATAAACCTCTGGAATGTCTGGGCAGCGTTTTTGAGTCCAAATGGCATGCGTAGATACTCGAAGAGTCCCCATGGTGTGATAATTGCAGTCTTTTTAATATCCTCTTCATGCATGTGTACTTGGTGGTAAGCTTTTTCCAAGTCTATTGTAGAAAATTCTGCTTTCTGATGAAGATTATTAAAAACATCTTGTATTAAAGGTGGAGGATACCTGTCAGGCAGCGTGTTTGCGTTCAGCCTCCTATAATCTCCACACATTCTGAATGTGCCATTCTTCTTGGGGACCATGTGAATAGGGCTTGTCCATGGACTATTGGAAGGCCTCAAAATGCCCCTGTTCAGGAGATCTTGTATCTCGGACCTGGCTGCAACAGCCCTTTCTCCAAAGATCTTCCTGAATCTGGAAGCTAATGGTGGACCTGTTGTGGTTATCCTGTGGGCAAAATGAGATGATTTATTATTGGTGGTTACCTGTGGCTTTGTTATTGCAATGTATTGTGCCAGTAAATCCTTGAAAGGCTCTGCCGGGTTGACAGTGGAGATGTTGACTTGCTGTGCCTTGAGTACCTTTCCATCAGAGGTAAGGCCTGTGGTCGAATCAATCAATCTTCTGCCCTTCAAGTCTATTAATAGATTGTAGTTGCTTAGGAAATCGGCTCCTATTATGGCTGTGGCTACATCGGCAACAACAAACTGCCAGTTAAACCTTCTGCGTAAAGATAAATCCAGCTCCAGAGTTCTCTTTCCATACGTGGATATTCTGCTAGAGTTTGCTGCAAATAGAACTAACTCTTCCTTAGAATGACCATTGGCGAACATATGGGCTGGTAAAATGGATAAAACTGATCCAGAATCTATAAGGAATTCAATTGCAGTCTTTCTGTCTGAAATATGTAGGCGGAGCACAGAGCAGACAGAATTTATTTCACCGTCATGGCACGCTCCAATTAATGACGGTGAAGTTAGTTTTCCGACCGGTTTAAAGACTTAAGCAGACAGAGCTCTTCAAATTTTGTGGCATTCTCACCGTATCTGTAATGATAGTAGCAAACTGATCCACGAGAAGGTGTCCTGGAACTATGTCGAAAACCACTTCTTGATCTTGACTGATTGTGTTGTCCACTTCTTGATCTTGACCGGTTGTGTTGTGATTCTTGCTGATCATTTTTCTGCCTTTCAGTGTTTAACAATGCCCTTAGTTCCTTGAGTTCCTGGATGCATGATATAAGAAGAGTTTCGTGGCGGTCCAGTCTCTGTTCTACTGAAGACTTGTGTGTTGTGGAGATGTGGAGATACAGTGATCGACCAAAATATCGGCTACTTCCGCCAGGGCTTCCGGGCCAAGATGACGAGAAACTATCAATTGGGGCCGAATGTGGTGTGGCAGGCGTTCTGACCATAATTTAATTATGATGTCTTCACTGACCTCTCCCTTAGCCAAATCCATCATCTCTTGTAGGAGCTGTGATGGTTTCTTTTCTCCTAGAGATAAGTTTTTTAATAGTTTGTCAATCTGCTTACCTCTGGATTCAGACATTCTGCTTAATATAGTCTTTTTGATATATTCGTATTTGCCCGTCATTGGAGGATTACGGAGGACATCTTGAATGAGGCGCAGTGTTTCGAAATCTAGGGCTTTAAGTACTGCCGAGTACTTAGTATCGTCTCTCCGGATCTTAGCAGACTGAAACTCATATTCAATTACTAAAAACCTGGTGAATGTCTGGTGAATCTCCATTGAATGGAGTGAGACGGTGATTATTAACTGCTGCTATATTGTATTGCTCAGCATAACTGTCATGTTCAGAAACATGTGGACTGCTCGTGTTAAAGATCGCCTCGTGATCCAGATCGATCAGAGATCTGTTGAGCGCTGTTTCATCATTGCTGAACGAAGGTGGAGTCGACATCTTTGAAAAAATTGGTATAATTTAGCTTTGTTAATTTTTTGTAGTTGAGAAGTATTTTTCTTTCTCCGTCTGACGTTACCAATAATGGGCACTAAGACGTTGAGTATGTCTCTTGTTTAACGATTTTACTTACACGTTCGGAGTCACCATTTATGGCATATGTGAGCCATATATTATTTATTAATTAAATCTTTAAATAAAATTGCAATAATTTGATGTCGACTCGACAATGAGTGTTTATTTATATCTCAATTAATAAAGGTGTTGATATTACATTAAATCTAATATCAATTTTGATCCCGAGAAAATGCTCGATAAAAAACAATACATAATTTTAGATCGTTTCAAAAAGCGCGATAATTTTTCCCGATCGTATTAAAACAATCCGCTCGCTAAGCTTGCTTGATATGATATTCGATTTGCGTCAAGCAACTGACATGTGTCATGTGTGCGTGTTGATTCCGCTATATATATATATATATATATATATATATATATATATATATATATATATATTATAGAGTTTTGTGTTATGAGTAGAACAAATAATAAATGTTAAATATGAACAATACAACACTCAGATTTTTATAACACACACTTTATTAATACACTTTATTTAATAATTACAGACGTTTCGAGATTATGATATGCCTCATGTTCAATGTAATTTCAAAAACAGTTACTTATATACTACACATTCTTTAATATTTTATTTAAATTACATTTAATTTTTGATATACAAAAAGCACCAACTATAGACTGAGAGCCAGTGAACCTTTTGAATAACGGTGTTCCTGTAAGGCTGAAAATTTTTGTATGGGTGATTCTTAACGTGCTAAGTACGGAAACGACGGTCTGGCAGGTTTTAGCCCTGCACATCATGGTCGTCCAGGCGTTTAAAAGTGTAAAAAACACCCGAAAATTAAACTTGTTCCTGTAAGGCTCAAAGTTCTATACGATGTAATTTATTCATTGAGAAGTTCGAAAATCAATCTGCCAGACTATTTCGACCTGCACAAGTACCTGCCAGACGAGCCGGAAAGTGAGCAAAAAATGCCCCAAACTAAACTTTGGTCTGTAAAGCTGAAATTTACATATGCGTTTATCTTAGCAATTCTAAAAAGGTCTGTGCAATTGCCAGACCATTCTGGCTAGCAAAAGCCCTTGCCAGACGAGGGCAAAAATGCTATGGCGGGAGGGCGAGTAATAGGCGTTGCGTAAAAACTTCAAACTATATTATGAGAAATTACAAATTATGGTCAAAATGAATTTAATTAGTCACAATGAAATATATATTATCATGAATTAATCATCATTATCAGATATATCGCTAATTAATATTTTATTGTCATAAGATTCGGCATTGCTGACTTATCGTCTATAAACAAAAAACAAATTAAAATATATTAATAAAATAATATGATATAAAATATTACAAATTTAAAAATTTTAACATTACCGCCTATGTGTTGATCAGCTCCGTTTGCATCCTCCTCAGCAATACGAGAAGG